CTTGAGACCTCCCCCTGACTGTGATTGGTCCTAATCGCTGTATCGTTCAATTTGAGACCTCCCCCTGACTGTGATTGGTCCTAATCGCTGTATTGTTCATCTTGAGACCTCCCCCTGACTGTGATTGGTCCTAATCGCTGTATCGTTCAATTTGAGACCTCCCCCTGACTGTGATTGGTCCTAATCGCTGTATCGTTCATCTTGAGACCTCCCCCTGACTGTGATTGGTCCTAATCGCTGTATCGTTCATCTTGAGACCTCCCCCTGACTGTGATTGGTCCTAATCGCTGTATCGTTCATCTTGAGACCTCCCCCTGACTGTGATTGGTCCTAATCGCTGTATCGTTCATCTTGAGACCTCCCCCTGACTGTGATTGGTCCTAATCACTGTATTGTTCATCTTGAGACCTCCCCCTGACTGTGATTGGTCCTAATCACTTTATTGTTCATCTTGAGACCTCCCCCTGACTGTGATTGGTCCTAATCGCTGTATCGTTCAATTTGAGACCTCCCCCTGACTGTGATTGGTCCTAATCACTGTATCGTTCATCTTGAGACCTCCCCCTGACTGTGATTGGTCCTAATCGCTGTATCGTTCATCTTGAGACCTCCCCCTGACTGTGATTGGTCCTAATCGCTGTATCGTTCATCTTGAGACTTCCCCCTGACAACGATTGGTCCTAATCGCTGTATCGTTCATCTTGAGACCTCCCCCTGACTGTGATTGGTCCTAATCGCTGTATCGTTCATCTTGAGACCTCCCCCTGACTGTGATTGGTCCTAATCACTTTATCGTTCATTTTGAGACCTCCCCCTGACTGTGATTGGTCCTAATCACTGTATCGTTCATCTTGAGACCTCCCCCTGACTGTGATTGGTCCTAATCGCTGTATCGTTCATTTTGAGACCTCCCCCTGACTGTGATTGGTCCTAATTAGTGCTTCGTTTATTCTGAGATGTCCCTGTTTGTCCTGAGTCTTCCTTTCAATCTGATCGATCAGCACAGAAAACCATTAATGACGTTGGCTACTCGAACACTCCAAGTTAACACTTTCTCCACTTAGAAAGAAAGAAAAAAAGCACTACAGAGAGGCGAGCGCTCAAAAACACGTCTCTCCCATTGAAACAACAATAGAGAAAAGACAAAAACACATACACTGTACCCCCCCCACCCCCCACAAATCAAGCCAGGACGTCACATTATCTGGAGTGAGAAAAACCGACACCAGCCAGTGGTGACCCCTCCCCTAGCCTCCTTGACACATCCTGTGCTCAAGTCCATTTGAGGTCATTAAGGCCATTTGTCACTCACTCAGGTCACTCAGGTCACTTGCTGGCTGTGAGTGCTCTAACAGACTTGTTAAACTCTTCAACGTCTACTGTGTTAGATATGCTAATTATTTATGCTAATTCACTGACTAATCTTAGCAGGCCTCTGTTTTGAAGGAGGATGACATGATTTAGCAGTATGCATATGTTTATACATGCTTTATAGAAAGTATAATGACTGTTCAAATTGCTTCAGTTTGGATGTGAACTGACAAAATAACCATTGATGTAAAACTTGATTCTGCTGGGTTGTTTGGAAAAGATCGTTTCCACTGAACCCTTTTGAAATTTAGCACAAACTGTATTAAAATTTAAGTGTTTGCATAATTAAATGGTTAAGATGTAAACAGAGTCGTTCAGAGTGGTTTGGTGTGAAACGCTCTGTTCTAGAGAAACTTAGAGTCAGAACTGTTCACAGTGGTGGTGATAGGAACCAGACATCCACCTCTAAAAGCTCCCTCATTATTACATGAAACAGTTATGAATTCACTGCCTGATGACTGAGACATCACGATAGTTTGAGAAGGTTTTGACCTAAAATATATATTTTTAAAAACACATTTATGATGAAGAGGCACATGCAGGGTGGACTATTTCCCATCATCAACATTCCATATAAACTCAGAAGACTCGTGTAGGTTCACTGGTGGTTCTGGATAGTAAATAAAATGTCTATATCTGTGTTGTAGTCATGGCGACCCCTGGTTCCTATCACCACCACTGTAAAGACATCTGAGTCTCTACAATCAACAGTTTCATACCAGTCTCAAACCACACTATCAAACCACACTGAATGACTTTACATCTCAACCCCTGAATTATGCAGGAAATTCTGAATGATGGGTGTTGTTCCCCTCAAACTGCTTTTTCTAGCTAACCTAAAATGAATACCAAGTTGGCATAACTACAAACTTTTCAAGTTCTTAGAACAAAAGGCAGTACAGTGGGCCTCATTCACCAACCGTTCTTAAGAAGAAATTTACTCTTAAATTCCACTTACACGGTTTTCGCAAAGGTTCTGACATTCTCCAATGTTCTCTTATGTGGGATTTGTTCTGAGGTAAGAACAGGATCTACACACACTCAAGAGCACAAAGGTGAGAACAGTTCTGCGCTTTAAGAACGCGACATGAATCTGACGTCTTTTTCTTAGGATCTTTCTCAAGAACACATTTAAGAACTTAGGAAATACTGGAGAACGAGGACCAAAAGTCTTATGAGGGTAAAACCAAACGTGTGGGACAGTATCATGGTAACGGTGATGGGCCATCCAGGTGCCTTGGCTGTCGTCTCTGACAGATCACTCAGCTTTATTAGGCCTGTCTCATCTGGATTACTGCACATGATCTCACGTCTCACAGCAGTGGGACAAGGCGAGCGGGTGCAGGCGCCATATGTGGCCTGGTTGAGTTGGGTCAAAGCTGAATACACTCATTTAAGACCTTGTGGGAACTTGGGGCCCTGTCCCAAATCCACAGTTTGTGGTGTTGCTTAGGTGCACACTCACATGACGTATTTGTACATTTAGCAAACATGCGCAAAACCACATCTGAACTTTGGGAGAGGTCGTCAGAGTTGACTGCAATCCCCCTTTTGCTCTCATTAACATACAGTCTCCTCTGAAAGTGCTGGAAGGGCAAAGCCGGTTCTTTTGTTTTTGCTGTACCCTAAAGACATTTGAGCTTGAGATCAGAAGATGAATGAGATGATAGATCAGACTCTTAGATTTTATCTCCTGATCTTTACATCTAACTGCATTAAAAAACTTAGCTTTTGCTTGGATCCATCCAGTTTTCAAGTGAGCAAACATACTGGTACATGTGACTGACAGCTGTTTCTTTGTTGCCCAGGTGTGTCCTGTTAGATCAGTAGCTCTGAATGAACTCTTGGTTTAAGCTCTTTGTTTCACCTTTAAAGACTTTGTTTGTTGTTAAAGAGAATAAATCAACACGAAGACCAGAAGAAGAAAAGGGAAAAAGGCAAGCTGAGAAAAGAGGGAAATTTGATCAGGGCTATTGCACAAGTATTGCGTATAGCCTATACAACAATTTGGAATTTCCCAAAAGAAATAGTGAAGTAGCAACAACTAGACATAGAACAGGTCAGCCAAGGAAGACAACAGCAGTTGATGACAGAAACATTGTGAGGGATGTGAAGAAAAACCCAAAAACAGTAGTCAGTGACATCACAGACAACTTCCACAGGGCTGGAAGTTGGATGGCCAGATTGGAATTTGCAACGAAATACAGAGATGAGCCACAAAAGTTCTGGAACAGAGTTTTATGGACTGATGAGACCAAAATTAACCTCTACCAACGTGAGGGAAAGGCCGAAGAGTGGAGAAAGAAAGGATCTGCTCATGATCATAGCTCAGAGGTTAAGCATGGTGGAGGTAGTGTCATGGCTTGGGCTTGGATGGCTGCTTCTGGACAGGGTTCTCTATTCTTTATTGAAGATGTAACTCATGACGATAGTCGAACACTGGCAGTAGAATGTACTGAAGAGCTCAGTGACTTTAAACACGGCACTGTCATAGGATGCCACCTTTGTCACAAGGCGGCTTGTGAGATTTTTTCTCTGCTAGATCTGCCCTGGTCAACTGTAAGTGCTATTATTGTGAAATGGAAACACGAAGCAACAATAGCTCAGCCACAAAGCGGCAGACAGGCAAACTCACAGAGCAAGACTGCTGTAAATAACGCCTATCCTCTGCTACTCACTACAGAGTTCCAAACCACCTCTGGAAGCTACATAAGCACAAGAACTGTGTGTTGGGAGCTTCGTGAAATGGGTTTGCAGGGCTGAGCAGCTGCACACAATCCTAGGATAACTATGTGCAGTACCAGGCGTCGGCTGGAGTGGTGTAAAGCGCCGCCACTGGACTCTGGAGCAGTGGAAACGTGTTCTCTGGAGTGATGAATCAGCTTCTCTATCTGTCAGTCTGATGATGAATCTGGGTTTGGTGGATGTCAGGAAAACGTTACCTACTGGAACGCAGAGCCAACAGTACAGTTTGGTGGAGGAGGGATGATGGGCTGGGCTGTTTTTCAGGGTTTGGGCTCTCAGTTCCAGTGAAGGGTGATGTTGATGCTGCAGCACAAAGACATTTTACACAGTTATCTGCTTCCAGCTTTGTGTCAGCAGTTTGGGGAAGAGCCTTTCCTGTTCCAGCATGACTGAGCCCCTGTGTACAAAGCAGCTCCATAAAGACATGGTTTGGCCAGTTTGGTGTGGAGGAACTCTAGTGGCCTGCACAGCCTGACCTCAACTCCACTGAACACCTTTGGGATGAACTGGAACATCGATTGCGAGCCAGGCCCTCTCGTCCAACATCAGTTCACTTAACCACCCCCCCACACACTCAAACACACACTCTGCTGCTCCCAGACTGGGCATAGTTAGGCAGGACAATGACATTTCCTGTGGAGCAGTGAAGCTCATATCAAATAAGCCTTGTTGTCCATTTGATCAGATTGCGTGAGACAGATAATACCAGGTCTAAACTCTTAATCTACACTAATTCGCTTATTCACTGTAGCAGGGCTTAAGTTGATGGACTGTGGCAGTTCTAATAATGTTTTCTTTATCGTATGTTTTCCTAACCTAAACACATGCTGTGAGCTAATCCGCAGAAGAGAGAGTAAATTTGTGTTTTTGCTCTTTTGATTAAGGTATCCACCGTTCTTTGATGACAATCCCTTTGGTATCTACCAGAAGGTTCTCGCTGCCAAGCTGAACTTCCCTCGCCATCTGGATTTCTATGTAAAGTAAGTAGACATTAACGACATCAACATCCGTTAAAGGGCCAGTATCCTACTTTTTGCTTGCGTTTTACATGTATTCCTGAGGTCCGCTTATATGTGGCTTTGTGTACAGAAGAAATAAAAATAATAATTACATTTTCTGACCTTTCTTTATCCCTTTGAATCAAACAGGCTGTTTTCGTGACTGTGAAGAAAACTGGGCTGAAACACTACTTACAACTTTAGCATGAATGGACAGAGCTAAACTGCTACAGGCCAAAACAGGCCAATCTGTGTAAATGCAAAGCTTTTAGCAAAATTACAGAAACGGTGAACTTAACTGTTTTCGCAGCTTAGTTTCCATATGTGGACTGGGGAGAGAATGGTCTGTTTTATACACCATAACATTGTTTAGATACCACAGCAAATTCTTTCTTCAGAAACAAAAATAAGAGAAATTAGATTTTCTGCACTGCAAAAAATGGTTTATTGGCAAGTGGAGTGGCAACTTAAATCTAGTTGATATAGCTAATATTCTTCATTTTAACAATGTTGTAAGCTCATAATAAGATTATTTATCTTATTTCCTGACATTTTTAACTTATTTTGAATAATTTGGTTAAGCAAAATCATCTCACTGAATTGGCAGAAATATTATTAAGAAATATGCCAGGAGCCAGCAAACTTATCTGCCAACATAGTGAGAGAATTTAACTTAATAATATTACTTAAAACAAGTAAAAACTGTCTAAAAATGTTTTAGAATCATATAATATTTGTACAAGCATCTCAAAATGAGAAATATTATATATTTAGACTGGATTTAGGCTGATTTCTCTTGTAAAGATCATTTTTGCAGTGTGTGATAATCAGAGTTTTGAGATGTAGCTGCAGCAACTATAAGCTTGGTTTATTGTCATTTTTATTAGCATTAGATTTTTAAAGTGACTAAATAATAATGATCAAACTTATTTGTTCAGTATATTTGAAATTCCCTTGACCGTGAGCAAATTCATGCTGGTGAAAGTCTCTCCCTGGCTGCAGCTTAATTAGCCCAGGTTTGGACCACAGGAGGCCGGCCGTGTATTCAGCTGCTCGAAAGGCTGTTCAGCATTTACACTACGACAAACAACAGGTGGTGAAACGACAGATTATTGACTGGCACATGTAGAAGCATTTTCCAAAGCTGGCCAAAGTTCATGGTCTCATCTACCACGTCATATTTAAATTTTAAAATATTGCCTTAATAGTGACCCTAAATAGGTGAGGATGAAGCTGAGTACATACTGGCTGACTCTCCTGTGAACTTAGGAAAGATAACCTCTTCAAAATATCAAGCAATATTTCAGTAATTCAGTAGGTTTAGTAAATCACTTTTGGACTGATTAGGATGCTCAACGATATCGGAACAAATTTTAATTCAGCAGATAACAGGATAACTGTTAAACCAGAATTCCTGCCTCTGTTAAATTGAATATATTATAACATGATATTTAATGTTTTAGCATTTGAAACGTTCCAAAAGTTTCCACTGTGTTGTATCACATTTCCTTTTAACAGCACTTGGTAAAAGATTGGGGACTGAAGACACCAATCGGTCCAGTTTTGTAAGCAGATATTTTTTTTCCGTTCTTCAGTTATACAAGTCTTCAGCCGCACAACCGTTCATAATCCACCACACGGTTTCAATAGGAGACAGACCCTCTGATTATGCCGCCATGCTATTGTAACAAATGCTGAATGTTTCTTGCCATCATCATGTTGAAATAAACATGGACGTCCCTCAAAAGGTAGGCGTCTAAAAGGCAGCATATGTTGCTTCAAAATGTGTATATATCTCTTAGTGTTAACGGTGCTTTTACAGATGTGCAAGTTACCCACTAATACACTGCTATACCACGTCAGACGCTGGCTTTTGAACTTTACTCTGGTAACAGTCTGCATGGTCCTTTGGCCCAGAGAACACGGCATCTATTATTTCTATAAATAATCTGAAAAGTTGACCGGTTAGACCACAACACGTATTTACACTGTGCACGAGTCCATTTCAAATGAGCTTGAGCCCAGAGAACTCGGCGGCGTTTCTGGACGTTGTTGACATACGACTTTCGCTGTGCATACTACAGTCTTAACCTGCATTTGTGGACGCAATGACGAACAGTGTTTATTGACCTCAGTTTATCAAAGTATTTCTGTGCCAGTGTAGTGATCTTCATGTCCGAAACATGCTGGTTTTTAATGCACTGCCATCTAAAGGGGTCAGAGTTCATGGGCATTTAGTTGTGGTTTTTGGCCTTGCTTTTTACACACCGATTTTTCCAGATTTCCTGGATTTTTTTAAAATATTATGCACTGTAGAAGGAGAGATACTTAAAATCCAAATGCCTATTGGACTATTTGTTGATGTTTTTTTTTTACTGAGCCTCAATTCCTTCTTGCTCATAAAGGGCTACACCTTTTCTGGATGCTCCTCATATACTCAAGCATGATTACGTCACCTCTTTGAAATGTTTTCTGAATGTTCATCATGGTTTTTAGTCTCAAATCACACCTGTCCCAAATTTGTTTAGAATCTGTTGCAGGCATCAATTTCAGAATGAGCGTATGAAGTTGAAGATAAAACATTAAATGTCTTGTCTTTGTACTGCTTTCGTTTCAATACAGGTCAGAGTGGATTTAAAACCGCTTTCTGTTTTTATTTACATTTCATATACTGTCCCAACTTTTTTGGAATTGGGTTTCCATCTGTCCACAGGTTTGTGTCTTGGAGTTTTTGACACTTAGAAACACAGATGACTGTAAAACTGCTTTTATATAACAGATGAAGATCTGGAAGTAGATGTGGAGACTGTTAAGGTTCTCATTAACTGGAGTCACCATATAGTCCCTCATTTTTATAGTCGATTTCTGTTTCTGTTTAAATGTCAAGTGAGAGATTAAATTTTTCATGACTTTCTGCATTTGTTCCTTCCAGAGACCTCATCAAGAAGCTCCTTGTTGTGGACAAAACAAAGAGACTTGGAAACCTGAGGGTAAGCAGATTAAACGTCCACTCCAAAGTCCTTTACACACTGAGTGCAGTTTATTTGTGTGTTTTATTCGGACGTCAGTAAATTAACTTGAACATGCACATAACTGATCATGTCACAAACGTGATGGCGAAAACACATTTTATTCGCTCTCTGCTATGAACTTTCATAGGTGCCATGAACTCACTCCACGATTCACTGTTGTCTTTGCCATTGCCCTAGAAGTGGCCAAGCTGGCGAGTCGTCCGTCACCTCATCTGCAACTTTTTGACAAACGTCAAGAATTAGTTTGTTGCTGCCTCGTCTTTAGTCGAGCTGCATCTCCAAAGTCAGCTCAAACTGATTTACTGAGATCTGAGCTCAGAAAAAGCTTGTCAGAAAATTTTTCATTTTTGTGTTGTGTATTTGTATTTTGTTTGAAGTGTTCAAACAGCCTTAACTTCCACATTAGCTGACAGTAGTTAAGTCACCCTCTGTCAGTATTTATCTGATATTATCATTCTTACCATAATAGCATTCAGCCAGAAGTGGAGCGTGTCTTCTGACAGCTCATTACTCTGAGTGGGTATAGCGTAACCATGGAAATGGGTTTAGAGTACATACATAAATGAGTGTAGCGTAACCATGGAAATTGGTGTAGCGTAACCACAGAAATGAGAGTAGCGTAACCATGGACATGAGTGCAGCGTAACCATGGACATGAGTGTAGCGTAACCATGGACATGAGTGCAGCGTAACCATGGACATGAGTGCAGCGTAACCATGGACATGAGTGCAGCGTAACCATGGACATGAGTGCAGCGTAACCATGGACATGAGTGCAGCGTAACCATGGACATGAGTGTAGCGTAACCATGGACATGAGTGCAGCGTAACCATGGACATGAGTGTAGCGTAACCATGGACATGAGTGTGGCATAACCATGGACATGAGTGTGGTGTAACCATGGAAATGGGTGTTGCGTAACCATGGAAATGGGTGTTGCGTAACCATGGAAATGGATGAAACGGAACTACTGAAATCAGTGTAGCGTAATCACAGAAATGAGTGTAGTGTAACAATGGAAATAGGTGTAGCGTAACCATGGAAATGGATTTAGCGTAACCATGGAAATGAGTGTGTCATAACTCTGGAAATGGGTGTAATGTTACCATGGAAATGGGCGTAACCCACTGATCCACATAATGGTGTAGTTGTACTTCAGATACATTTTTATGATCAGCCTGTGTTATTGTTAATAATAATTCTATCATGTGGATTGTGACCGCTGGGCAGTAAGTGTAGACCTGCACTATTTAGGCAAAAACTGGACCCCCCACCTCCCCTTCCCCCAGTGGAAACTACGCCTATGGACAGCACACTCGGTTGCCAAGGGTAACGTTTGGTTCTCCACTACTGGGGGCTTTAAAACGAGAGGTTTTTACTTCGTAACTGACCTGCAGTCCGTGTTAAATGTATGACCTCTGACCTCTGAGCCGCCTCTGATGTCCCTCTTCGTGCGTTTTAATGAGCCCCACCGTCCCGCAGGCCAGCGCCACTTAACCCTTTACGGCTCTGCGGGCGGCGGCATGGAATGTTACAAGGTGTCCAGAACGAAAGGTTTCCTTTCGAGTCGTCGCCAAGTTCGGCTCCATGAGGGGCTTCATAAAGCTCAGCTTGGAACCACCCTGAGTGAATAGTAGCCACAGACGGGGTCAAAGGTTACGAGACACAGCCTTGAAGAACCTGGACTGCAGGCTGTTTATTGGTACTCTTTCAATTTCCAGCACTTGCAGAGTGAATAACTAACTTTGGCTGTTGTCTGATATACAACCCCAGTTGGGACGCTGTGCAAAATGTAAATAAAAACAAAATATAATGATGTGCAAATCATTTAAACCCATGGCGCTGGTGACGTGCACATCTGTGAAGGCTCCGTTAATGCTGATTGATATATACATGTTTTGGCAACATACGCTGCCATCCAGACGACGTCTTTTTCAGGGAAGGCTTTGCTTATTTTAGCAAGACAATGTAAAACCACATTCTGTATGTATTACAGCAGCATTGCTCTGTATTAAAAGAGTCTGGGTGCTGAACTGACCTGCCTGCAGTCCAGACCTGTCACCACTGATAACATTTGGCGCATTATGAAGCGAAAACTATGACAAATGAGACCCTGAACTGACGAGCAGCTGAAATCCTGACTCTTCAGTTCCCAAACGCTTACAGTGTGCTGTTAAAATAAGAGGTGATGAAACACAGTGGTAAACAGGCCCCCGTCCCAACTTTTATGGGACGAGTCGTTGGCGTCAAATTCAAAATGAGCAAATATTTTTTAAAAAACAATACACTTTTTCAGTTTCAACATTTGATGTGTTGTCTTTGTAGCATTTCCCTTTAAAAATATGGTTCACATGATTTGCACATCATATTTTTATTTACATTTTGCACAGCGTCTCAACTTTTTTGGAAATGGGGTTGTAAATAAACCAAACTCATGTGGCTTTATTTTTACTGTCAGTCATTGGATTCATTTCCTTCACTTTAAGAGCTGCTGTAATCTCAAATTAAACAACTGTGGTGCTTCATGATTGGGATTATTTCTTTAAAGAGCTGTTTGTAAACGGTTCACGTCCTCCCTTGAGTCGCCTTATATGAGAAAAAGAGGGATACTTCTGCTACTTCTGTCAAAGACTGTAAAGCAAAGTGGTTTGGTTCACTCAAGTGCTTTGTCATTTATATTAATGCTGTTCAAATATTAAGCTTAGCAGAAAGCACTGAAAATGGATTACTGAAAAATACCCAGGCGATTATGTTGACGTCAGACTCCTCAGCTGCATAAATCTCTTTCTGTTGCTTGTCCAGAGATGCATATCTGTGATTATAGGCCAAATGTGGCTCACGAATTCTAATATTTACTGAGTATTACAGTCTTAATGGGGCCTACTACTCAGATTCCTAAGTACAAGGCCTGCAGTTTTGACTAGCCTCTTAAAAAATAAGGATTTAATGTCTAAACGAGTTAGCGCTCAGACATGACGGCATTCCGAAGTGCTTCCGGAAAGTCTCCGTAGACGAAATTCACACTAATAATCAGGCATGACCTGTGAAATAAGGACTTCTCTCTCAGAAGAAACGACCACAGCTCTGAAGAATGGAGCGTTTTAAAGCCTGCAGTCCAGACAGGACTGTATTAGCTTGCATTCTTCAGAGAGTATAAATGTCACCAAAACTTTAAACATGAAGGAACAAAGTTAATGCGGAACAGCTGAAAATTAGCGGCGGCCGCTCTCCTCAGCAGTTGCAGGTTGTTGCGGCTGGTTGAAGGGCTGGAGGACAGGAGGCTGTTGCTAGCATTTGGTTCCAGTTAGCGATGGCACATGGCTGGCTCTATGCAGTGTACGCTAGCGCTCTGGAGAAGCTTCTGTTTGTTTTCATGATTCCCAGAATTAGTGACCCTTTCCAGAACTCTTTTGGACACACTGAGTTTCCCAAAAGGTCACATGGAACCAGCTCAGGTGGAAAAAATCATTTTAACTAGTGAGGCACCAAAATGAAAATTCTTAGCCAAAGCAGAAACCAAAATTCAGGAGATAAAGGCCAAAAACTGAAACTGAAAAATGAAAAAATGACAGTAAATAAAACATCCAACAGAACGTTTGGTCATCTAAGGCCATGAATTCCATTATTTTTTAGATATTCTTTGCACTTTGGCTGCGTTTGTGAAATTAAACTGATTCAAAACGTGGTGTCAGCGTTGAACTTTCTGTATTTACATATATATCTTATATATAATATATATATATATATATATATATATATAAATGCTGTCGGAAGAAAACCTCTTTATCTCCATTTTTGTCGTTTTTTTGTTTTTTGAGTTTCCTTTACGTTGTGTGTAAATTTCATAATGAATATTATGTGTGTGTGTGTGTGTATATATATATATTATATATATATATATATATATATATAAAAAACAACAGTGTTGCTCAACTAACTGTTTGAACATGTCTGTGCTGACCGGCGCAGGACAGCCAAAGAAAAACCTAAAATCTAGAAATTAATCTAATTTAATCACTGTTTCTCTTTTTCATAACCATTAATATCAATTGCAAATTGTTTGATTTTCACACTTTGTTGTGGGCCTATTTAATCTTTGTTTTTATTGATCAAACTTTTCAGACATTTTCTAATATTTAGACAATAATATTGTGTTTCACCCTCCCACAATTCTAACAATTTAAATGTTATTAACAAACTACTATATTGTTGGTATTAATCAAAATTGAGAATATAAAGCTGAAATATTACAATATCAACATTATAATCTTATTAATTATTTGCTTAATTGCAAAAGAATGCCCCATGTTTTAGTTGGTTATAGCTAAGTTGCTCGTGGCTTGTTTCTTCTGGCCGCTCTAATTTTGGCGTATCAAACTCAGGTTCTAAACTGAATATCCAATATTACGTTTTTGTAAGGAAATTTCAATATTCGCATCAGAGAGCAACAGTTAAGACCTCCGTTCAGCTCCAGCACAGTTCTGATTCATCTGTTCTGATTGAAGCCCTATTGAGAGACATTCCTGATAGAAAGATGTAGAAATACTGTTAAAGGATGAACATTTTCCATGGTGACCGCTGACTGACCAGCAGAGGCAGAAATGGAGCCATGTGTGCTGATTTCCGAGGTTTGCTAGCGTTAATGGACGTGTAATAGGCCTAAATTCTTGGCTCAGTTCGCTTCCATTGGAAAGTCAGCATGTTGAAATTCTTTAGACAAATGCCAGTAATGAACCCAGCCTGTGTCGGTCATATATGGGACACTTGGGATTAATTATTTGTTGGTAAACTTTTCCTTTAATGTCCTAAAAGCTCTAAGGCACTTCGCTATACATATGTAGTGATTACCCACCATACAATGACAGTTCGGCCTTATCTTCCATGTAATTTTAGTTAATTTATCCCTTTTTTATTGTTGTTTTATGTCAACTGTGAGCTAAACAGACTAGCTGAACTT